TCAAAAGCTGAATTCCAAATATACTCAGACTATAGTGAGCGACAGAATTAAGTACGGAGACATGTAAGATAAATATTTCGACAATGGTAATAGATAGTGATCTAGAACTTTTACTAGTCGATAGAGACAGAGTCAGGACATGTTATTATATAATATTGTGCTAGAGGAAATAGCTATCAAACCAATCATAGATAGAAAGACTTGAGATCTATAGTTTAAGACACATTGTGAATAGTTATCTTCTCATATTCATATGTCGAGAAAATTACTTCGACCATTTCTGTATCGGAATAATAATGATTTGCGATGATAATAAAACCAATTTTTCGTATGTGTTATCAAACTTTAATCGGACCAACAAGCGTTTTTGATAAAATGGAAGGAAACTTGGTCCATAATGATCACAAATTCCTGTTATTTTGATACGAAAATGGTTGAATTAACTTGCTCAACATTAGAATATAAGAAGATAACTAATCAAATTGTATCTTGAACTATAGATCTCAAGTTCCTTTATCTATGATTGGTTTGATAGCTATTTCATCTTGCATAATATTATATAAAAACACGGTCCAGTTTGGTCTCTTTCAATTGATGAAAATCCCAGAACACTGGTCATTGCCATTGTCAAAATATTCGTCTTAAATGCACTTCTTTTTAATTTTAGCACCAACAATAGATATGCACTATGACAACAAAAAATATTATCATCTAATAACTGTCTTCATTTCAATTGATCATATTTCATCTTGTAGATTGGCTCACCCTTCAACAGAATATGTCAATCAAAAAAACAGAATGATAGAGAGAGAATTGTATTAGCATATCTATGTGTACATGCAGAAAAGCGTACTTATCGAGTAGATGAGTTAATATGTAAAGAAGAAGATAACAATCTAGAATGTACAATATATAATTATTTAATGAAAGGTATAGATAATGAATAGTAGCGGAGAGATGATAGAGCACAAACAGCCGTTGACTGATGGGGAAGATAAATCATTATAGACACATTCACGTCGTACTCCTACTCAAGATGAAGCTCTCTAATTCGTGTAGTTCAATATTATTTTGATTTGTTTTGACCCAGTATCCCATGCCTATAAGGATGTATTCATTCCACTTTCTATCTGTTAGCAATTGTCGTATTTTCTAGATGGCACAACAAGTACAATGATGAATATGAGTACTAGTATGGTGAGCATTTCGACTACAACATCTACTAATCTGGCAACCACTACGCGAACAACAACTATTGGTCCGAGAAACACTACAAGCACAGGTAGTGTTGTAATACCAAACACAGGCATTAATGTTTACTGTTCTCGATTATTAATCCCTTGCTCACTAGAAGAATTAGTTCCTTACTGATTCGTCTTTTGTATAGAAAGGTTCACTCTAAAACATACCAGATCATACATATCTTCTAATGAGTTTTCTACTAATACTTGTCGTTTTTTTTTTCGTAAAAATGTTATAGTTAAACATATCACACTTTATTCGAACGCGACACCTATTTCAATTGTAACCATCGTTCAAAGTTATACGGACTCTCAAGTAGGTCTCGGTAAGAATGGGAAAATTCTAAAAGGATCACGTCCATAGGCATTTCGAACCAAGCTCTGATTGTTTGAACGATCATGAAGTGGCTTGAGAGATTCATGGATAGCAATCTTTTCAAGCTTTTTCTCAGTTCTATCGAGACTTTCTCGTGGACTCAAACAGTAGCTCATACTTCGTTTAGTTGCCTCGTAAGCAGAAATCATCTATTGCTATTCTCAAAACATCCTCATCTCAATAGATAGCATCCATTTACAAAATTTTCCTTTTCGATAACGATCATTCCTACTGCAATACATTTTTTCATTAACACGTCTTGCAATTTAATTGCAAAATGTCATCTAAACTGATAATTATGTTGCCTAATTATTTCACCATACTGGTAATAAAATGAACAATTGATACACCTGAGACAAACATTACAGTCACACAAATGAATTTAGACAGCTCCATATGATGTTGTATATCGCCATTTGATACAACTTGTCATTAAACGGTCAGTTATTTCCTAGTATTCTAGCAAGCAATTGTGTCTGAGCAATTTCTTAGATATGCGTAACACTAGTACTTCATTTATAAGAACATTTTATTCAAAAAAGCTACTAGGAACTTACAATAACGAACACAGATCTTTAACTATTCTATGTCGTTTTTAAAGATATTTTATTTATATCTTGGACAGATAAATCGAAGAGAATGTAAGAGAATATATAGTGTGATGCAATTTCTTTGAAAAATTATAGTGATTTTATCGGTTTATCTCTTTACTACAAAATAATCACCCACATTATGAATAACAAAATTTCAACTAATAATCTGCACAAATACATATATCTGACTCATTAGCATCTTTGTAAAACATGAAATTTCATCAGTGAAATCACTTAAGGTGATTTCTTAGATTATTATCTTCTATATATAAATGAAATATCGTTGAAAAGATAGAAACCAATTGAAGAACTTGTCTTCTAAGTGATCATTATACGTGATCCTAATGAGAAAATTGGAGGTCAAGCCATATACTTTTATCGCAAAGGTAGTCTACAGCGTCCCTGATTCTTCTCATAGAAGTGGTAACTATGTTAGGAATGACACCCCACAGACTATGACATTGATTTGAGTAATGTCGCCTTCTTCTTAATCACAGAGCTTGAAAACAAATGAGTAATAGCTCTTTTCTGTCATAGATTGTGACAGCTATCTTGGTATACCTATTTTCTCTTCATGATGCATGACAGCCATACCCAAGAGATGAATGCTTATCACAAGATTAGCATACATTAATAGTAGGTATGTCTATGGAGATGACATATTTTATATTGTAGAGAACAAAAAAAAAATTCATACTTTCTAAAAGCTTTACTAAGTTTGTCAGGTCATTGTTGTTGACAGTATGAGGTAATTTTTTATGCATTGAATAAGTTAACACATAGGACAACATAACCTAGAATTTGTAACGTTGTTCGATAATTCATTAGATCTATGGAGATGTCTATTAGCAGAAATCAATGCCTAGTCTATTTTCTGCATAGTTTTAAAAACATTTTATATGAATGGTTCTTGCGAATTCCAAAATATTCACATAGGGTGATGTTACGAAGCCAGACACAAGGTAATCTTTTTATTTTTCTTTGATTAGATTCTACTCCACCGACTACAACCTCGACACCGACTGTAATCTCGCAAACAGATGTAACCTCGCAATTCTCATCAGCGTTGACTAGCTCCAGTCCTATGTTTTGTCGTACTGGCAGCTGTTCATCATCAAACTACTATTATCAAGCTTTTCTTCTCAACGTCTCTACAGCTGGATCTTATTCTATTATGTCTAACAGTAGCATAGATACATATGGATATATTTACAATAATAGTTTCACTCCTTCTGATCCATCTACAAATATGATAACATACGATGATGATGGTGCTGGTGCCAGGCAGTTTATTTTAACCATTCAAATTGATACTGTAGCAAGGTACATTCTGGTTGCAACGACATATTCGACTAATGTGCAAGGCTCATTTTTAATCATTGCAAATGGACCAGGATCTGTTGGTTTCATTCTTATATAGAAACCATGATGCTATGGTTTGAATCTTCAGTTCGCATTAATCAATTTTTCTTTCAATCGAAGTCAATATTCTGATTGTTCATCATTGATATAAACGCTTTTTCCAAACTTTTTCCAAAGATTTTTTGCTCTGCTTTGCTAAAAATGATCTTGTTCTTTTTTTATCCTTCATCATCAGCTTTTGGTATGCATTGTTTCATACAGTTCGCTTTTCAATGTCACATTTTATTTGCTTTCTATTCTCAATAAATATTGAATAAAACGAAATGTTTTTTTTTACAGTGTCATTTGTATTGTAATGTTTATAATAATCACTTACTTCGACAGAACATTGATATGCCGAATTATTCTGATTATTTTCTGTAAATCGACAATCATGATACACAAGAACAGCAGAAAAGATGCATACGATGAGCAAATATGTCTACTTAAGTGTTCTCCGTATTAATCTGCAGATTTCGACGTACATTATGAGCATAATGAAATGATGATACAATACTTGTTTTACTCATGTTCCTTCCTTGGGAAAGTCTGAAAGAATCTTTGAGGACCTTAAAATTGAAGTATTTTGCCATGTTTTCTATAGTATCCTATTCTAAATTCAAGTAGTTCCTGTTTGCAGCATACCTCACTATGAGATCGAATCCTTTTTAGGATTTCTTCGAGTTCCCATTCAGGTTTTTCTATTAACTAGTAATGTAGCATTGTACTAGGATTTACTCTTGTTCCTGCTCAGGAAGTGAATAGAAATTAAAAAAAAAAAAGAATGACATCGAGATTGTATCAAGCCTTTATCAGGATCTGTTAAGAACTCTCTACACCAGAATTATCTGAAAAGTTACAGCTAAATCAGACGAGAATCCTACAAAGATCAGAACAAGATCAGTTAGAATCCTAAACTAGCATATTCTACCTCATCATAACGCATATGCTAGCCTCCAATCTCGGATTCAATCCAATCTAAGATCTATCTAGCTCAAACTGAGATCCTAACATTGTACTAGTCCAATGTCGGTTCGGCAAAGAAGTTTTCTTTAAAACCTTGACTAGTTTTTCGATACATATTGGATTCGAATTCTTGCTGGTGATCCCTATTGAGACAATCGTATTTTGAGTATTACAGTTATCAGTGAAGAAACTAACGTGAGCATTTACTGATAAAAACTATATAATTAAGTTAGTGGCAATATACAGTATTAGAATACTGTTTCAATGTTCATTTTGAATCATAGAGTTTTTTCTAATTATAAATAAAAAATCGAAGAAATTCCTATAAGAAACATTTGCTAACAATACAAAGAATCTCAAATATTTAATATATCTATTCATTACAATATCTATTTAGATTCTCTATTGTTTGCTTTTTCTGAATCATTCAGTTTGTTTTTCAATCGATTGTTCATAATTATAACTCGACGAGTTTGTTCGAAATGAATTTGAATATGTCTCATTAGGTACATTTATTGACGATATACGTGGTAAATAACTAGACTGTTGTTCAGTATCAACATGTGCAAGTAATTTAAGTGTTTTAATAGCTGGTATTATTTGATCAACTTTTGATACTTCTGAAGAAAAAAAAAAAGAAAATCGATAAATCGATAAACAAAAACTTAAATTACCAAGTAAATCAGCTAATTCTTCAATAAATTGATGATAATGAGGCACATTATTATCATAACAATGAATTTTTCTCATTGCTCTATATCAGAAATCAATTAAAACATGAATAAAATTTTTAAAAAAATTTTCATACTCATTCATGTCTTTTACTGTTGTTAATTTCTTAAATGTAAACATTTTATCTAATTTCGAATCTTCAATTATTTTTTCTAAAGTTTTAAATAATAATTTTTGATTTTTATTATTAATACCCAATGTACTTGAAACAGCATGAATAAAATTATTTAATTCTCCATGTTTATAATATAAATCAATAAGTGATGTTGACATATGTGTAAAACATTTTATGTCAAATAATGTTTGATATTGTTCAATAATATCTAGACAATATTGATAGCTTGGTTTATGATTAGAATCAATCTAATATTGATATATTAATAACGAAAAATAATTTCGAAATAGAAAAAAATCTTACTCGATCCGAACATTTACAAGTAAAATAATTCGTTTTATTCGAATTTATCTAAAGAAATTTATTTATAATATTGATATTTAAAAAATAAATTGATATACTTCAGATGATTTTTTTATTAAATAATTAAATGTTTGTTGTATATATGTTTTCATATCTTGATGAGACTGAATTGTTGTTATTCTTGATTTTGAAGAGTTTTTTGAATGTTGAAGACATAAATGAAATAATTCATAAATAAACTAAAATGAGAAAATGAGTTTGTAATAGAAAACTTTTACAAGTCATTTTCTTGATATTTATTTTGATGTCGGAAAAAAAAAACAAGATTTTGTTTTATTAACTATTTTCCTTCTTACTCGATGATCGGTAGAAAGACTATGATATTGTTTAGAATCAATTTGTTTTGGTTGTTGTTGTTGTTCTATGATGTTCCTACGAAATACAAAAATTGAATAAAATTCAAAAAGAACAATTAATTCGAATAACATACAATTTTTCAAATCGCTTTTCCATTGTTTGAATTGTTTTTCGAAGATTATTAATGGTCTCTTGATATGCTTCAAATTTTTGTTTGTACATCTAAGAAAATAAGATATTATTCTCTTGTTTTAAAATAAAAGTTTTCATTTACTAATGCTTTCATTTTATATTTTTCTGATTTTTTAAATTCATTAAAATAAATTGAGCTATTGTAACCATCTATCATCTATAAGAAGAAATAAATAAATAGGAATTTTTAACTAAAATTTAGCTCACTTTATTGTTTTTCGTATTACTTGTCATGTTATATGCTTGATCAACACATTGTTCATTTATTTTTATAGTATGTTTTAATTGTTGATAAATATTATGAATTTCTTTTCTAAAGGCATCCATTTTAACATTACATAAACAAAGATATTCTCTTATTCGATACTTACTTAAGATCTTTATTAGATTGAAGTAATTCTTGAATAAGTGTCTTATCGTCTTCAGATATTGTTTCATCAAGAATTTTTATTTCATCTTCTATAACTGAAGAAGAACAAGAAGATGATGATGATGATGATAATCTTTTAATTGAAATTTCTTGATCATTTATAGTTTGAGGATAACCAAACGATATAGTACGCTTCAATAGTGGTGATGTTGCCATATTCTTATGATTACCTAAGAATTAAATCTCCTGATAAGACAAATAAAGTACACATGACAGATGAATATTGAAGAACAAAAAAAAAAAATGGTTGTCATGTTACATACTCATAACTATTATGAAACTTTGAAGTAACACTCAACTGACTAGAACTACTTTCTTATTAAAGTATGCATATAAGAAAAAAAAATTGTCATATGTACTATCTGGTCTATTATTTTAAACTTTATTCTTTCGGTAACATAGAAATAAAAAATGCACATTTACTCAATACAGCTGTCAATATTAGTCCTTGATTGAATGTAAAAACTCGATACTTGTTTCTGCATAAGAATAATAATTTTTATTCGATTTCATTTCAATTAATAAAGATTAATATTTAATTATCATTTGATGTACAGTCAAAAAGAGATTTAATATAACGATTGAGAATTATGCTGTGTGTTGTAATCGTATTTTTCTTCTTGTAAATTTTTCTATTAATGATTTCCACTATCGCCTAGAGTAAAGAAAAGAAAGAATAATATCAGCTTCTTTTTTAATTAAAAATGATGAGAGAAATCGTAGTTTCATTTTTATTTCTTTTGATTTACGTGAGCTATAGATACCTATCAAAAGATGTTAAATTTATGATTTTTCAATTAGATTTAGAATAAATATTGTAATTGTATTTCATTTTGGAAATTTAACAAGTTCTAAATAATATGTTCTTCAATATTTTTATAATATTTTAATTACTAAAATGAGATATATAAGAGATATTTGATAATTAAATAATCTAACAAAATTTTGTTATGTTTGATTAAATGTGTAATAAATTGTTTTAGCTTTACAAATAATTCTTAGCCTATGAAATTATCTATTGCCTATCCAAAAATGTTTATTAAATGTCATCTGGAGAACGATATCATCTCTTCTATCGTGTTATTTGATTTAATGCAATTGTACGTGATAACCTTTGCTATCTGATAGTTTATTGAATTGAAAACCATCATCAACATACAATATATTTTAGTTCTTAGGAAAAAAAATCTTATTAGCGCAGTTCCTTTGGGGCTAAATATGTGTGACTCACATGTCTTCGTATGCTTTATTATACTGAAACAAAATACAAAATGTGAAAAATTTTTAAAAGATGATAGGCATTAGGGCACACTGAATTTTGAAACTTAAGGCGAGGCTGACACATCCATATTGCATTCAGCCAGATTATCAGATCAGGCTAAGTCAAAGTTAGTGGCTTGGGAGCAGTTTAATACTAATTTTTCCAGTAGACAACTGGAAGCATGAGATGGCGCCACAAGTTAATCAAGTCATCCATTAACTCCATCATTGATAATATGGGTGTGTATGTGATTTTTTTCCTCTCAACCACGTCCACAGCTACATCTTGTTACGAAATATGATAGTCGAATGCAAATATCCTATCCTGCTGTTATCACGCTGTCCTATTCTCCACAATTTTGGCTTCTCTACATTTCCTTTGAGCTCTTTCTTGTTTGTCTTACCATATGTTGTTTTTTTCATCATGGTTGATTTTTTTTCGATCATGCGAAACATTACTGATATTATCACAAAATTGTTTTTTAATTCAAGTCTTTAATGTATGAAAAATATTTTTGATGGTTGTTTCTTGTTTTTTTTAATTTTCTATTTTCTAGGTGAACTCGTTACTCCATCATGTTGGTGAAAATAAATTGAATAAATAATTGACTCTGATGTAGTAAGTTAGTGGAGAGTTAGAAATATAATGAGACTGAAAAATCAGAAACATCTATTGGCTTGCAGACTAGACCGGGTCAAACCGAACAAAAAGTGACCTATTGGTAACTGTATTAGGAAATCAAAAACATTATCCTTGATATATATGATGTAACTGTTTTCTGCACAAAAATCACAAAGTGCATTATTCAGAATATTCAAAAACGTATTCCAATCATGTAAATTTTAAGAAAAGTTCTGAAGTGTTCTAAAACCTTCTAAGCTTTGTTATTGATGCGATTCAGTGCTTTTCATTCTAGTTACTAAGGTTTGTAAAGAGAAGGAAACAACAAAATTTTGTTTGAAAACTTACAATCACTATTTTGTTCGGAAATATATGTGAGTTTCACAATAATATTTACGAAATACATAAAAGTTGAGATGAGTACATATTTACAACATTAGTAAGATCCATCGTCGTGTTTATCTTGTAAAAAATATTTACATCTGGTCTTTATTTATTAAAATCGGTAGTTAAGACATATCGAGCAAAATGAATTATACATATCTATATATACATATGGTGTTAATTGTTATGGAATTGTTTTTTTTTTCGCAATTTTTCTATGATTTTCATCCTATACCTTATCATCAAATTGAAGGAACTAGACTGAGGGCAGATACCTGTCTAAGGACAATTGCTGACTCTTCAGAACTATAATTCTCTTTTCATACAGTTAAAATATAATATATACTATCAATAGATAAATCCGGTGTTTGTAACATGTTCAACAAGTTTCAATAGTCGATCATAATCGATCTACCAATTTCCTAATTTAAATCTAACAGTCTATACATAAAATAGTACTCTTTATCCTTTGTATGATATTGCGTGTCTCGTTAGGCAAAATGCACTGCGTGTACATATATATATAGATATAAACACGTCAATAGTGCAAAAATCCCTCGTTTTTTATTCTTATTCGCATAACGAACTAAAATCGATAAAATATTTTCCAGCAGGCAACAAAACATATGATGAATCAGACCTTATCAAGGTAAAAATTTCTTTCGCTTGTTGTTTACAATCTGTACAATTATGCATAGATATTTGAAACAACACATGATTTCAATTTCTTATAGAAATATTTATTTGTTCACAGATATACTTCCTATATGAACAATAACAATTCATTCGAGACAAACAATATAGAACATTTTTCATTGCATAAAAACTCAAGTGAAATTAGATTTCTCTTTTCAGTAATTATTTTCTGAAATAAGAAATGAAAAAGAAAAACATAGACAAAGCATAGACGATATCACGACATATAAATACAAAATATGATTGTAGACAAAAGAAAACATCTTATGAGAGTGCAATTATGATAATAATGAAAAAAGCAATGAAATCTCCTCAGAATTATCTGACATAGTATTTTTAATAAAAACTGTTCGATACATGTATGTATATATGTTCATTTCTATATATGTTAATAAGTCACTCTCATATTTGAAAATTTTACATTGATTGAGGTGATAAATGATTAAGATCTTTTGATGATAAAGTTGTTCCACTTGTTGGCCGTCGAAATTGATCTGCAGTAGTATTTAAATGTCCTCTGCTTATAGCATTTTTAACAGCATCAGCTAATGATGAAAATGATGCAACTGTTTGAATTGGTTTATTTTGTGTTTTATTAGATATATCAGAATCAGTTGATGATTTTGATGTTGAAGTAAATAAAGCTGATGCTGAAGAAGTTTTTCCTTGATCAGATAAATGCTTCATATGAGCCAATGGTGTCCAACGTTTTGGTATTTCAATTGATGAATTATATACTAAACCAAAAAAAAAAGTACATGATATTAATTGAATCAATTAAAATAAATAACAATTTACCATCAAAATCATCAGAAAACATTGAATCATGTTTATGACCTTGGTTATTTAAATGAACACTTAAAAGGAACAAATAAATAAGGATTTTTTTTTTTTCAAAAAAATTAATTCTTACCGATAGAAATCAAATTTTCCTGGTTCATTAGGACTTAATGGAAAATCAAAATCTGTTTCATTAGATTGTGTAGGTGTCTTTATTGGTTGTGATTGACTGGAACTTCTGGATGCCATTCTTCCAAAATTATTTGTTTATCAAGAAAAAAAATCGGTAAATAAAGATATTTGTTTTATATAAAATGTACTCAAACGTCAACGTGTAAAAAATTCTTATATCTTGATTTTTTTTTCTGCCTCTTACTAAACATCCGTAGTGGTATTATGAGTAGACGACTTGCGGAGGAAGAACGACTAGCGATTTTTTTTTTTTCTTCTTTTTTCTTTCGATTCTTCTCACAATATGCTTGCATACAAACATTGCTTCTCTCCTAAACATTTTTTTCTGTTCTTTCAGACCAACATCACTGTTTTTTTTTTTGCTATGACTGCTCCGCATATAAAAAAGCTAAACTAACTAGAAATCAGACATCATATTTGAAGCGGTAACTATTGATAGAAAAAAGAAAAATAAGGATAAAAATCAATTAAAATGAATAAGAAGAAAGTACTTCAAAATATAAGAAGGATAACTATACCATTTTTTATATCGAAACAAAAAAAAGAAAATGAAATAAAATCGAATTGCTCATGAATAATTTATTCATAAGCAAAAGAAAAAAAAGAAACTGACGACATGATGACATACATATATACTTTACATTATAACTAACGATATTCTGACGTACATATAATAAACATATCTTTCGCTCTTCGGTCACGAGAAGCAAACTTATACGATTGAACAGCTTGGTTGATATAAAATGACGAAGAAAAAAAAATTATAATAGAACAAATATATTTTCTGGCAAATATTTAAAAAACACAGCTGTTGGAGATGTTTGCTTTTCTTCAGGCATTTCCTTTGTTTCTTTCTTTTTTCAAAAATATCTACTTTATCAAAACAATGTATTTTTTTAAATAAATAAAACAAAAAACAAAAAAAACTTTATTTAATAAAGTAGAGGCGTAAAATCAAACAACAACATATCGAATCATGAACATATAACATTTGTAAATGAACAGAAAAAGTAAAAACCAAAAATGCTATAAATCAAAAAAAGAATTTCATGTTGAATAATACCAATGATTTTTTTCTTTTGTTTTCGGATAAAATATATGATAAAACATTATGGACTTCTAAGGACACATATCTTTGGATTGGATTTTAATCATTCGCATGTTTTACCGTTTCTTGTTTTGTCGAAATGACGATATATTTTTTATTTTTGGTTGTATTTAA